GTTCAAATATTATGAGGCAATATCTGCAAGTGCAGCCTGCTGAATGCGCGATGGAGAGCAGCGAAAGGAGGCCAGCATGTGTGTGTGTGTGTGTGTTATGTGGAAGACATATAAGCACTGCAACGTAGGCTACTAGCCCTCTCCTGCCCTCCTTTTCCTACGTGCTAACCCTGCTGCCTCTCCTCCTCTTCCTCCACCTCCTCAGCCTCCACAGAAGTTATATAATGGTGAACTCCTCAGCCTTTGTTATCTCGCGCCAACCACACACTACGCCTTGCCCGCTTGATGAGAGACAGAGGAGCAGAGGAGGGAAGAGGAGTGAGAGGCCGGGAGAAGAGAAAGTAGGATGGTTCCAGCAGAAAATTGGCACTCAGTCGAGGGATAGAAAGAAAGAAAGTCTGCGTGCCATTTTCCATATTGTAGTATTATTATTGTAGTATTACTGCAGTCAGACCTATATCCATTCTCATCTTGAGCAGCCCCATTCTTCACTATATGCACTTAATGTGTGTGTTACTCCAGTTCTCGCTCATAAGACTCGAGAACACCAGCTGACTCTGACTTTACCCTGACACGAGAAAGCTGTCCAGCCCCCTCTATGTCAAACCTCCCTCTTCATTTTGCAGTGGAAAAGGTCACATGACGATGGCAGCTATGTCCGTTGACATCACTTCGTGTTCTCATGAAAGAACCCTGCTGTGAAAAAACAGACTCAGCACTTTTGAAAACGACTGACTTTTTGTTCAACCATATTTAGTCAATGGAGACATCTTGCGCTGTGCATGTTCTCCATCCAGCTTCATGTCACTTGTCTTTTTGCATGGGGCTATTTGAAGCGTGCAGGATTTATGCTGACGTGTCAATGCTTTTCTTGGAGCTAAAACAGTCCTGTGGTATGATCTGCATGAGCCAAATCATCACATTTGTGTTTGTAGCAGACATCCCATGGCTAACTGAAGCTCTGCTTGAAATCCAGAATAGACTAATTGTGCAATCAGAGCTCCAGTAGCTGCGAAACATTTAGGCATGACTTTCTTTTCTTTGTTGTGACTAATGAGGGTGAATATGCCATCTGTTACATCATCACAACTGAGAGAGTGGACGAGGCCAAGAGCTGAGTCATGACACTCCTGTTCTGTACTGCTTTGGAGACGTAATCTGACTGGGCGGGGGGGGGGGGGGGGGGCGGGGTGAGTAACTCTTGTTTTCCCTTTTCCTTCGATAGATGCCTTCGTGATGCCCCGGAGCAAGGAGCTACTGACCTCCAACTGCTCAGTTGTGGACGGTCGTGGTCGCGTTTGGACAGCGTCGGCCTCGGCATCAGTGTGCGTGTGTGTGTGGGTGAGAGTGGCTGTCCGGGTGAAAAGGAGGGTGTCGCTGATGAAACGCCAGCATCAGCTCAGTCAGCTCAGTCAGCTCAGTCAGCTCTGCCAGTGTAAATAAATAACGGTACGTTTTTGAACATTGCAGCAAAAAATCAGAGGTGACATGCAGTCAGCACCCGTTCCTGATTCAAGGGTTTAAGGATTCAAGGATAATTTATAAACATTATGCAACACAGGGATGCTCAACAACATTCAGTTGTGGCCAGTTTGTAGTTCAGTTTTGTGAATTAATAAATGAGAGAAAGTTAAATCTACATCAGAGGATTTGGTCACATTGTTTTGCTGGAATCAACCCTTTCGTTCAGAGGTCACTTCCTGTCAATGTAAGTGATGGGAAACAAAATCCGCAGCCTTCGTTCTGTGCAACAACACATTTCAAAGTCACAGTAATTTTAGCACAAACTCCACACTTTGTGTTAATATCACGCCACCTCGGCTCAGCAACACGGTTGAGGTAAACACAAAGAGAGAATTTCACATTAAAATCACAGCAACTTTTCATCCCCACTTCATCCGATTAACTCAGAAGCGGATGCTGCACATTAACATCAGACAACTTTATAAAATGTGAACGGTATGAATGATCACAGCAAGCCAAACGTTTTTAAGTGTACTATGGGCACGAGAATATTGCACTGAGACAGACTTGAAAAAATGTGAAGATATCCTTTAAACTTGGGCAGCATAGAAATCTTCTTTTTGTTCATCTTCAATTCAATAATGCAAATATCATAGCTATTTTAATGTAATGTAATGTAGGTTCTGTCCATCACTGGTCCGTTGCAGCGGCGAACAAATACAGCTGAGACCAGAAAAAGTGAAACTTTCAGTCATTGTTTGTATAAAACATGCACAAGGACGCACAGAGGAAGGAGCAGCTCCTACTAACAAAATCTTTGTGAAAATATTGGATGCAGCCCAAAAAAAACAAAGGTGAGCAGCAAATGGTGGCGATGGAGAATTACATTTTTTTGATTGATCAGTACCAGCTAACAATAGTTTAAATAAGCTCGCTCGGCTCTTCTGTGTGCATCCTATTGTTGCGTCACTAGCTCAGTTGCTTTGCATCTTTACTTTTCTTGTTTGTCTTGACTTGTATTCAGGTTCAGCTCCACTTTCTAATACTGACATAAAAGAGTTAACTGACAGAAGTGAACACACTGGAAATGGCAGTTAAGTTTCCGCATTCAAGGCCACCGAAGATACGAGATTAAGAACTTGCTTCCTCGTGGTAAGAAGCCAGCTATGTAGTCTGGAAACAACACATTTATACTAATTTGACCTTTTTTCAAAATATTTTTCTTTTTTATATAAAATAAGTCCTCTCTGACAAAATCATCTCATTTAAGTCATCAATGTTGAAGCAGTTTCTTCTGATTAAAGGATACATGCATGATTCTCAAGTCTGTCTTGAAACCATATTCAGATGCTGGTATGAACACTGAAACTGGTTTTAATCGTTCCTCCTGTTTATAATGGCCAATAAAAGGTCCCTTCTTTAACACACTTTCAATACAAGTGATGTAGAACAAAGTCTACAGTCCTCGTTCATATATATTCCAAAGTTTTTTCTGAATCAAATATGAGCCTTTGGCAGTCTTGAGTTCGACAAATCAATTGGACAAGTTCATTTTTAGGAGTGAACAGTTTCTGTTTTAACAGGAGGAATGTTCAAAACAAGAACAACCTATTTCAACATTCACGCGTGCCTGAATATTTTAAGGCAGACTTGAAAAACGTATCCTTTAATGTTACATACAACATTTGCTGTACAACATCATTTACTTGAGGTAATGTAGATACTTAGATATGTTTTAACTTGCAATTTTTGGAAGGATTCCAAAAAAAACTACAAAACAGCCTCGGTCCAAACTAATATTGGCATCACTATCTGCCTATAATGAACTCATATCAGTCACAGCATGTCCTGCACATGGAGGAAGTAAAACGGCACAACTTGCACTTTGCTTCCACCATCTGTTCAACAGGCAAAGATGCAGCATGTAGAAACTGTCACTGTAAAAACAGAAACTAAGACCCAATAAAGAAAGCAGTTCTTAACTGCGCTGGTGAAATGATTACATGTCACTCGATGGAGAGGACCTGAGTGAATGTGAAGACAGAAATGGAATGAAAAAACTTATTTTTGAGAGAAATTGATCAACTAGGGGCTGCATGGTGGTGTAGTGCAGCACTGTTGCCTCACAGCAAGAAGCTTCTTCTTCCTCCCACAGTGCAAAGACATGCAGCTTAGCTGAATTGATTACTCTAAGATTGCCCGTAGGTGTGAATGTGAGCGTGAATGGTTGTCTGTCCATGTGTCGGCCCTGTGATGGTCTGGAGACCCTTCCAGGCTGTACCTTACCTTCGCCCAATGTCAGCTGGGATCGGCTCCAGTCCCCTGCGACCCTGAACAAGATAATGGATGGAGGATTAACTAAACAGAATTTTCTAATTGTTTTTTCACCCCCAAAACACCCCAATATTTTGCTTTTGTTGAAATCGATGATGATGATGATGATGGTGATGATGATGATGATGAGGGGGTCAAAAGAAATGATCAGTGGAGGCTCTTTACAGATCTGTGAGTCAAAGATTTCTCACACTGTGATGTAATAACAGAAAATGGCTGCTTCAGATTCAAGAACATATATTACCTTTAATAATTCATCACACATTACTGATGAAATCGTCACAATAGTTCTATCACTGTGTTATGCGTACTTGTTCTTGTGGCGTGGCTCTCGGGATGATAATGTCGGTCCGTCTGTCGGTGCGCCGCTTTGGTTCAGACTGAAATACCTCAAAAGCTATAAGATGAACTACGGTGACATTTTGTACAGATATATATGTTCAGTGGAGGATGAATCCCAATGACTAGTGATGCCCCGATTTTTCACATAGCACCACATCTCTGCAAACCCTAATGACATTCCCATCAGCCTCATTTGTACTTTGTGTTTAGTGCTAATTATAAAATGTTGAGATGGTGAACATGATAAACACACCTGCTTAATTTCAGCAATTTTGCATTTTGCATTGTGGGCATGCTAGCATTTAGCTCAAATCACTCTACACAATACTAACACTGAGCAGTTTATCATGTTATCTACTCGGATGTGTTTTCTCTATTCGCAGCATTTTTTCTTAATGTTAAATTGATAAAGATGTTTTCTTAAGTCTCTTGTATTTTGTCTAATTGCTTGTGTTTCAGGGCCTCGCAGAGCTGCTGGCACCACTGTAGACTCTCGTTTCTTAATGAACTGAAGTAATGATATTAAATGAGGAGTGTATGTTTATCTTCAATTTGCAGATGTTACATGATTTAAAATTCTCATAAACTAATGTAAAATGATAGAACATGTTCATGATAAGAATACTGACAAAAAGAAAGAAAGATCCTCATAATTTCCAATAAAGCTAAAAACATGTTGCAGCAATTTTTATTCAACTGACATTTTCTAGTAAATGAAACTGTTCTAAGAGCTGCGGTTTATTTGAGGAGCCTTTACATAGTGCTAGACGGTGCAGACAAGAAACACCAGCTTCCTGTTTTCTTCACCTTCAACCAGGAAGGAAGTAAAACACGTTTTTTGTTTAACACACAAATAACACTCCGCTGTCAGTGTGTGAATCAGATGGCAAAAGCAGGTCAGCATTTCCTTCAACTTTTAATCTATTTGATTTCATTAAAATCCCTGACTGAATTTTGTGTGTATTTGTATGTATTTTGTCTGTATCTGAAAGAATGTTTGTTTTAATTTAATGTCATTTGATCCACTGGAAGTAAATTAAAGTACAGGAAAGTCTCCGTCTCATGCCCGAGACCAAGACAACTATGAGACGTATCAATCCACAGAAATCACCGGGGCTACGAGGGAGCAGATGAGAAAAACATGGAGGAAAAGATTGTTGCTGATGAAACAGACGACCTTCTTCGAGGTAAGGATGTCAAATTAAGAATAAGAAGTTCCTATGCCAATGAATTGGACCAACAAGTTATGAGGGTAAAGAGGAAGAGTTCAAATCCAAAACCATGAATATAGAATTTGTCAATTGATAAAAAAGCACCAGAAACATCTTAAAATCTAGCTGTAATAACAATTTCTGCTCAACTGATCATTCACTACACGGTATTTTTGTAACCAGCTGCTGAAACTGAGTTGTTTTTTTTTTCTCAGAGTTAGTTCCCTCTATTCAAGCCACGGTTCATCATTTTCAACCCAGCTACACCGCTCAGACCGGAGGCAGTGTGGTCGCTCCCTCCATCATTGGTTCTAGCGTTGGCACCATAAACATCAATGTCTTCTCAACGAGCCGAGGTAGATATATATAAGACGTGGGAGTATCCGATACTGGGGGTTGGGCCGTGCTGATCTTGTTTCTTCTTTTGCAGGGTCTATTGTTTCATCGAAAGAAGAATTGAACTATGACACTGCAGACAACTGTGGTGACCTGCAGCCCCAAAGTCAGTAATACCTTGTTTAATATTTTTGATTCTTAAAAAATATCAAAAATATTTTTGATTCTTAAAAAATATCAAAAATTTTAAAAAAAACGATTAACCTTTGAATGCATTTCCACCTTCAGACGATAAGATTGCACAATGTCAAGAGACACTAAAAGCTACTCTGAAGAGAAAGTTCAGCCATTTGTACGAGGGGATGACGAAGGAAGCAAACAGGATACCTCTCAATAAGATCTACACAGAGCTCTACATCACTGAGGGAGGAAGTGGTGAGGTCAACAAGGAGCACGAGGTGAGACGGATTGAGACGGCATCCAGGACACATGTGGCCCAGGAGAGATCCATCCACTGCAATCACCTCTTTGATCCTCCACCTGGACGGGACCACTACATAAGAACTGTGATCACAAGGGGAGTCGCCGGCATCGGAAAAACCGTATCTGCCAATAAATTCACTCTAGACTGGGCTGAGGGGGAAGCAAACACCAACCTGGCGTTTGTATTTCCTCTCTCTTTCCGTGAGCTGAATCTGATGAGGAAGAAAACCTTCAGTCTAGTGGAGCTTCTCAGTGTCATTTTCCCCGAAACAAAAGACACAGGAATCTTCACTTATGGTAAAAACAAAATGCTCTTCATCCTGGACGGGCTGGACGAGAGCCGCCTGTCTTTGGACTTCCACAAAAGTGAAATACTGTCTGATGTGACGCAGACGACCACGATTGCGGTGCTTCTGATCAACCTCATCAGGGCAAGGCTGCTTCCTTTGGCTCTTGTTTGGATAACATCTCGCCCTGCAGCTTCCGGTCAGATCCCTCTGGAGTACGTTGATCTAGTGACAGAGGTGCGAGGGTTCAACAACCCCCAGAAAGACGAGTACTTCAGGAGGAAAATCAGTGACGAGAGCTTAGCAAACAGGGTGATCGCGCATGTGAAATCCTACAGGAGTCTTCACATCATGTGCCACATACCAGTCTTCTGCTGGATGGCGGCGAGTGTTCTTGAGAAGAAGTTGTCCACGGCAGACAGTAAAGAGACGCCAAAGACCCTCACTCAAATGTACATACACTTCTTGTCCTTGTACGTGGATACCATGAAGAAGAGGCTTCCTGGGAGAAGAGAGTCAAAAACTGACTGGATGAGAGATAACCTCATCTCGCTGGGTAAACTGGCATTCAAGGAGCTCGAGAAGGGCCACCTGATCTTCTATGAGAGTGACCTCAAACGGAACGGTATAGAAGTCAGCCAGGCGTCCATGTTCTCAGGAGTCTACACGCAGATCTTCAATGAGGAGCTGGCGCTGTGCGAGGAGAAGATGTTCTGCTTTGTGCACCTGAGCGTCCAGGAATTCTTTGCTGCGCTGTACGTTTACCTCGCGTTCAACAACGAAAACAACAACGTCTTGGTCAAGAAGTCGTCTGCTTCCAGACGTTTCCTGTTCAGAGATCCGTCAGAGCTCATCCTCTACAAAGAAGCAGTAGAAAAGGCTTTGCGGTGTGAAAATGGACATTTTGACATCTTTCTGCGCTTCCTTTTGGGCTTGTCTATGGAATCAAATCAGACTCTGTTGAAGCATCTAATGACCAGCAACAGAACACACCAAAGAACAAGAACGGAGATCATTAAACACATAAAGTGGAGAATCCAGGAAAGTCTGTCCCCAGACAGATGCCTAAATCTCTTTCACTGTCTCAATGAGCTGAACGACCACTCTCTCGTGAAGGAGATTCAGAACTACCTCAGCGAGGGCAGTCTCAACAAAACCAAACTTTCACCTGCCCAGTGGGCCACTCTGGTCTTTGTATTGCTGACATCAGAAGAGGAACTGAGTGTGTTTGACCTGAGCAACTACACCAGGTCAGAGGAAGGTCTTCTTCGGCTGCTGCCTGTCATTAAAACAGCCAGAGTGGCAAAGTAAGTGATTTCTAAAAACAGATAGTAGTTCTAAAGCTTTTTCTTTTTTTTGCCCCAAAGTTAAAGATAGCCAGCTTCAGTGCTGGGATTATTTTTGGCATGAAGAATAAGTGATCAAAGAAACTTGTGGTCTGTCGTACCTGAGACCACTTGCAATGTGTGGAAAGATTATTTACCTGGGTACAGTTGATATACAGTATAATATAATAGGAAACAAAAGGTTAGGTAGGTAACAAGGAACAAATTCATTTCAGTTGTCAGTGTAAAAAGTTAAATATGCAGAGCTGAGATCCATCAAATGACTGATCACCTGACTATGCAGGTCCCTCTCAGCTTAAGAAGCATTGCTTTCACTTTACACCACCTGCCCGGCACAAAACAGCAGATAGATAAAGTTAGTAACTAGCTGGATATGGATATTTCTTTATGACTTACCTTTCTCATACTTCCTTTCCTCCTGCAGTCTACATGCATGTAATCTCACTTTGAGTTGCTGTGAAAACCTGGCGAAGGGCATCAACCCATCACAGGTTACAGAGCTGGACCTGGGCAACAACAACCTGACAGATGACGGAATAAAACTGCTCTCTGAAGGACTGAAGAACAGAAAATTGGAGACACTCAGGTCAAAACCCAACAACCACCCCACATGGTCAAGTAAAGATGTTTGAGTTCTAAGCAAGTTTCATCTTTTCTGTATTTTGTGTTTGTTAAGACTGAGGAGCTGCAACTTAACAGAGCACAGCTCCGATGCTCTGGCCTCTGTTATCAGCTCAGCCTCCTGCCAGCTGAAAGAATTGGACCTCTCTGACAATGACTTTCAGGACAAAGGAGTCAAAGCTCTCTCTTGTGGACTGGAGAGTCCTCACTGTAAACTGGAAAAACTCATGTGAGTGTCAGATGAGTTATCTCACAGCAGGACTGTTGTTATGGAGATATATTGGATGAAATGTCTTGGTGTTTTTGAAGTGTGTCCCTGTGCAGAGTGACAGAGAAAGGCTGCACCTTCCTGGCATCTGCTTTGAACTCATCCCGCCTGAGAGAGCTGGACCTGAGCTACAACCACCCGGGAGAGTCGGGCCTGCAGCTGCTGTCTGCTCTGCAGAACGACCCACAATGCAGCCTGCAGGAACTCAGGTAGTGGCGGTACAGATACATTGGTATCGACAAATGTTCGGGCTGTATTGTCAACAGTCTCAAGAAATTTCTATCTTCATGTAAGAAGTTAGTTTTTTAAGCTAAATCCCCAAGATGATCTACTCCATATCATTTTCAGTATAAAAGAGGAAAAGACGTTATCTCTGCTGCATTGACTTTGCTCCTGAAATGCTAAATTGGTGGTTTACTGTTTTAACCCCATTAATGATACAAGTGTCTGGTCTTCTGTCATGTTTTAGTGTGGAGCAGTGTGATGAATCCAGAGCACAGCCAGCTCCAAAGAAATGTGAGTAACCAGCACTTCATAAAACAGCATTCAGTAATGTATAATACTGACTGACATGTTTGTTCTGTTCCATCATCAGACACCAACAAACTCACCCTGGACCCAAACACAGCTCACAGAGACCTGTCTCTGTCCGAGGGAAACAGGAAAGCGTTGCGTTGGACCAAGCAGCCGTACCCTGATCACCCAGAAAGGTTTGATTTCTGGACTCAGGTGTTGTGCACGGAGGGGCTGACTGGCCGCTGCTACTGGGAGACAGAATGGAGTGGGAGAGCTTTCATAGGAGTCGCCTACAGAAGGATGTGCAGGGAGGGAGAGGGTCAGGACAGCTGGTTAGGCAAAAATGACTGTTCCTGGGGACTAAACTGCACCAAAGACGGCTACAGGGCCTGGCACAAGGACATGAACACTGCTGTAACCACCCCACCCAACACTAATAAAGTAGGAGTCTATCTGGACTGGTCAGCGGGGGAACTGTCCTTCTTCAGGGCGTCCTGTGGTGCACTGACCCTCCTCCATACCTTCCACACCACCTTCACTGAGCCCGTCTACCCAGGGTTTCGTCTTGGCTGGGTTGACTCCACAGTGTTCTTGTGCTAGATATTACCTGGCAGTGTTAAGGTGGTCAAAACCACCTAAACCCAAGTCACTGTAAACCACTTCCTTGTATATTGGCAGCACAGTCGCCAGCACGTTGCTGTTTTTCTATTTACAATAAACTACTGTAATTGTAGTGTAATGCTATTAACTGTATATGAAACATTAGTTTCTACTCAACAGTATTTTATCACAGTATATTGTAGCCTACTGTCATTTTTTAATTACTTGAAATAAGTCTTTCTGAGACCGAGACATTACCGAGTAAAAATGCGAGACCTTCAGAAAGTGGTTTTGAGATCAAGACCCATCTCGAGTATTACGGTTACATAGTGACACTGTTGACATGTAGCATAATGTTTTCTTTCTCCCCGTTCTTGAGCGTTAAACTTAAAGGGTTGGTTCATCCAGATAACTCAAGAACAAGATTCCACCTCTAGTTGTATCGTCATGCACAGTTTGGGGTTTATTTGTTCAGAATTCCAACTGATACTGGCTTTTTGAAGGCTGAGACCAATACTGATATGGGTTTTAAAATTCTGATATATTGGTCACAATCAACTTCTCTTTACATAAACATATGTATTTGTGTTGAAGCACAAATGGAGAAAATATTCCCCTAAACCTGAACTTATAAAACCAAATCCATCCGCATGGCTACATTTCAAGATGAAGTGAAAATAATGTTTTGTATTTTGGCAAACACTGAGGAAAAACAGCAATATCAATCGAATGTAATTTTGATGAAATGTAAAATATGTATACATATATGTTGTAATTAAGACACAAGAACCACCAGAGAAGGTTGAAGCATGTGGAGTTTCACTTTTAACAATCATTTTATTAGCAGTCCCAAGAGGCAATGAAAAAAAAATAATTCAAAACAAAAAGGAACAGAAACTAAGATTACAGTAGAGGTTGGACCAATCAAAGTCAGTGACCATACAGACGGAACAGAGGGCTACACACACACACACACACACACAAAAGTCACATTGTTAAAAAAGGAACAGAAAGTGATAAATGAAGACTGAATTTAATCTCACAGGTAGTGTATGTGTGTGTATGTGTGTATTTATGCATGTGTGTGTGTGTGTGTTGGCTGATCCCTCTGTTCCTCAGCAGAAATTCACCAGGACCGACCCCACATTCTCTCTCTCACTCACTCTTACACACACACACACACACACACACACGCGCACACACACGCGCGCACACACACGCACGCACGCACGCACGCACACATATCAAAAAGCCAGTCACGGCGTCTTCCTCTCTTCAGTAAAAGCCATGATTTTATATTTCGGCTATTTGTGACAGCGGAACCAACCACCAACGAACCACAGCTGTTCAGGCGGGTCTTTAAAATGGTTATTTTCTATTAATTCTGTACAGATTATATATTTTATTTACACACTGAACATAGTCAGTGCGAAGACAACTCAAAATTTGCAAACAGTAACTTATGTCCATTTATCTGCCGTCGTTCTGTGCTCATTTCTGTCTGCTGGAACTTGTTCTTTTCTTCTTTCTTTCTTTAAATACATTTTTGGACGTCAGAACATCTGATTTATACAAAGTCTGCAGCACTACACACACGTCATCAACAGGCAGAATCGTCCACAGACACTAATCACGGAAGAATTTCCCATCGCTGTGATGCCAAGATCAAAAGTTCACACCTGTCCTTCACTTCCTTTTTTCTATATTTCGCGTCAGGCCTCTCTCTCTTTGCTGCATAGACTTTGAACTAATGAAAGCTTCCTCTCACAACAGAATCATGACAGCAACTTGAAATGCACGCCGGCTTCATCGGTGACGCAAACATCTGGACCAGATGTTTGCGTCACCAACAGAAACTCAACGGAAGCCGATTTGAAACAAATCTGGATTATACCAATTACTGTAATAACACAGCAGCAGGTGTTTCAGTTCCCTCGTGGACACTGGAACCAGATTTGATATTTGGAGATTCCTCTGCAGGTAAACAGGTCATCAGACTCCAGAGTGAGCTGTTAACTTTGCCTTCAATTTGGATGCTCACACCCGGAAATAAGAATTGGTCAGTAGATGACTAATCCTCTAACATCTGGAAACACACACAAACACACACACACACACATTATGGATGATTGGAGCAGCATGGGGAGGGGTACTAAGGCCATGATTAAAGGGGAGAAGAGACAGAACGACCAGCATATATTTAATTCCATTTATGTCTTGGTATGTAAATCTCCTTCACTCTATTGGGATTCAATCATATAAAAAGCGTTTGCTATCTGAGGGTCATTAATGCACTCAAAACAGACTTTCAGTGCTCGTATTACAGACAGTACACCGACTACAGTCAACACCAGCCGTCTCCTTCACTCACTCACTCAACACCAGCTGTCCCCATCACTCACTCACTAACTAACACCAGCCGTCCCCTTCACTCACTCACTAACACCAGCCGTCC